AATCAACTTTTTTGAACTCATTGCAACACTGCCCATTTTAATGGGAACTTCAATTCCCATCTGACCACTCAAACCATGCAAGTAACTGTTCCACTCATCTGTACTAATCAAAACTGACGCAGACTGGAATGAATGAACTACAATACGATCGAATTTTACCAAATTCAGTTCATAGCACCGTTCAGTTCAACTTTTAATTCAAGCTCAAGTTTACTCTTATTGTTTTCCTTGGTTCCTAACAATTAAGCTCGCCCACCTGATGTGCTCGTATAATCAGATCAATATGTAGCATTTTACAAGCAGCAGCCACAATACCGGGGCCGAATGCATAACTTAAACCACGCTGTGAATAGAACCATCCTTCACCTTGAGTGGTTGGATCCGACCACAGTATATCAATCACTAAGCCGTGATCCTTCAAAATCACATTCATTGATTGATCCATACGATTTTTGCTAGCTCATAGCACGATGATCTATATGATGCCAATCAACAGATCTACGATTCAAATTTACGAACTGCGGATAGTTTAAGAAGACGACAATGACTAGAGAATGTACGGTTGAGCTAAAAATGGAACCTAAATGTCAAATTGAGGGAACAATACGTGGCAAGGTGGAAGTAAACCACCGAGCTCATATTCAAAGTACGAAAGACACGAGTTCGACTGCACGCTGGAGCAAATTCCACACTGGATTTCGTTTCACAGGTAAAAATCGGTAGCAGCAGAAATGAGGAGTGTTTCTTTAGATTATCAACAAATTGTGGAGTATTCCATTGGCTATCTTTTAATTGTCAACAGAATTGATGGATATTTTATTCATTATCAATTGGGGTGAAAAGTATGTCGATCATTATCATCAGGAATGAGATGTATTTCACATGGAATCGTATCCCATTGAGTTCATTCATGGTTCTCATGACTTTAGCCAAACCGTTAAATGTTGTAGTGTGATTTATTCGGTGCTCTTGTTTTGTTGATGATTCTCAATCGAGCGACAACAAAAAACCAACCACAGGTTCAATCGGCCTTTTCACCTGTCGTATCAAGTCGAGAGATATCAGCTCTGGTGACACTCCACCATGCATACATATAATACGTTTTGCGATTAAACCAGCAACCGGCAATCGATTAAAAACAGTCATAAATTCCCACCAGAGTCCTGGACTGTAACAATCCATTTTCAGTTGCATTTATAACTTCTAATTTTTTCCACCACAAAAATTAATTGATTCTTAGACTGATATCTATAATTTTCCAAAGCTTCAATGCATTTGTCTCATCGTCAGTAATTTTCCCGTTTTTCAACTGGATTGGAGGAAATGAGTAGCCGGCGGGCGTGATGGACATGAAGCTAAGGCCGAAGAGGTGGAGGAACCATCAAAACGATATCGTCAGATACGAATGCAGTTTAAAAACAACACAAATGAGGATTTGAAACTATTGACGATCATGTTTTGATCAACGCTATATTAGCGAACGTGCGGTCCGACGAGATCGCCAATGGAGAAATAACATCAGTGGTCTGGATTGTGAGCTAATTTTCCGGCCATAGCACTGAAAATCCTTATCCTATTGAAGTAGAGATTTCCTCCAATATCATATGGCTTCCTTTGAAATCCGTAGCAAACAACTGATATGAAAAGAACAAATTCGGAACGATCTTAAACTCGCTACATCTGATGTGATAATCGAAGCTGCTGAAACGAAGCATTAATACGACATGGAAGAGTCCGAAGTGAATGCAAATACTCTCGGAGTGCGACAGGTGATTTCAGTGCTAACTGACGCACTATAGGCAAATGTCACGACTAAGAGGAGATACTAAGTCGCCTATTGGCACTCTACAGAAATTAAGTGAATTCTTTCGATAAGTACGAAACCGCTATAATTTCCTCGGATGGACTATTGGTGTCATGAAAGTGTTTAATAAAACGAACCCATATCGTGCAGAACATTCCGCATGAAAACCGTAGATGCGACTGACCGAAGGTGTTTCATGATTGCCTCGCAACAAGAAAATACGATCACTATAGCGAAGTTTCAACGATAGCAAATAGACGATTGTTTCGATTGATTGCTCACCACGATCAACGTAGTCACCCAAAAAGATCATTCGCTGCTTCGGAACACGTCCGATTATATCGAATAGTTTATGCATATCCTATAATGATCATTAAGTGTCGATCCATGAATAGGGCTTAATTGATTTGCAAACCAGTGAGAAGTGATATTTGATATTGTAAGAGCGACAAAGTCAGTAAGTTAATCATTTCAGCTGCTCCACTCGTCATGCTCACGAGCGAATCTCATGGTTGGGAACTAAGCCTAAGCCAGCCATGAGATCAAACGTAATCAAGTCTGAAAAGGTGATGAAAAGAGTGACTCTGAAAGGGTGATGTCTAAAAGGTAATTGTTTCGGTAGAGTTTAAAATCTGAAAATGGTGGCTGCAACGAACACTGCAGCAAAGCCGTATTCGACGCATACGTTGCTTCTAGGCTGCTCACATTCGAAAATCAGAAGCTGTTTTCGATGCTTAATGGTATACGACACATTCACAATGAACACTGTGAATTCATAGGACGGACTTGGTATTGACCATGAATATCGCCAATTACTTTTATCGGAACGTCAACTTCAACCAGCATATCGTCCAACATGACCACTCGTTTTGCGTAAGTAATTACTTTGATTATTTCATCCAACGACATCACATCCGTTATTGTTTGTTTCTAAATCGCACACGATCAAGCGTCGATTGATTACAAGAGGACAGTGGCAAAAAATGCTACTCACTCACTAAACATACACAAAGAGTTGACGTCTAAGTGAAAGTAACTGAA